TGAATGGCAGTGGGTGGAGGTCTTTATTAGTTGGAAAAGCTGTAAAATTTTATACACTCCTTAATATTTTCCAAAACTGTCCATTGGAGTCTTTCCTGGGCTGATTCTGGCCCTCAAAATGTTTGACACTCCTGTTTTAGAGTTTTCTGTCAACTTATTCACTGACTGAATTTTAAATATCTTTTAGATTCTTTGGACTTCCTGTACTGAGTGCATTAAAGGCTGATTGTCTGAGATTACGTCCTACATCTGCAACAGAAGCTCTATTCAATCAGTAATACATCATTTATCTCTGTGTGTATGTGCTTGATAGCACCCTTAGTAAGAAAAAAATATGGCCTGTAAATAAATTGCCACAGTCTACAAAAATTAAAAGTACTAAACACATACCACTTAATGTGGACATTTCTGAAACTGGAAACATTGTAATCGGGGGTGGGGTGGGGTGGGGGGTCATCATGCTTTCCCTACTGTGATACACGACTCAAAGTTAATCTGAAGCACATATTACTGCTTTATCACAATGTGCAACCCTATTCCTGTGTCACCTGTGCATCGACCTCGTCGAAGAGACGACACCATGGAGAGTTCACAGTCTTGATGGCAAACTCATACGCACACAAATAAAATGCAGCTTCGGCCATATCTGCAGGAAAAAGATTAAAACAAAATGTTAACAGTCAGTGAAATCACAGCAGTCAGGAAGCTGTTAGAAAAACAGAAGTGAAAGCAGGAAGCGACATATTAAAAATCTTAGGAGCACGGTATGTGTTGCGTTTTCTTTATACAACTTTAAGTATGGAAGAAAATCCTGAAATTAGGTAAAAGTTCCAATTTATTTGGGTAATAAAGACAACAAATAATGGAATGGAGAATGGAGTAGTATTTGAAAGACACCATTAAAAGTACAAAAGTACAAATAAACATAATTTAATATATATTACATATATTTTGATAGTTTAATATATATTATATTAGGTAGTTCATTTAAATGGTAACAAATCTAGGAATCAAAGATCATTTCAGAGGTTTAAAAGATTCTCTTTTTTGTAACAAGATGTATACATATTTGGCTTTTTGGAGCATGTAATAAATTTCTGTTTACAACTCAGAAATATCTGAAAAGAACTCCTAAAATATATAATATGATAAAATATGTTAGAGGTAAAAAAAAAAGGTTGAAAAGTATTATTTCAGTATTTTCTTTTCACATTTCATGTATAATGAAGATGTGAGAGTTAAAAAAGCACAACGCTTCTCTGTGAAATATGGAAATGAACTTTCCAACACTCATGCTGTTTCAAAGCCACAGCTGAATGTTGTCGAAAGCTGCACGTTCCTAAACCGCACCAAGCAGACAAACTTCTACTATCAGCATTAACGCTGAGTGAACTTGCAGTATTATTGTTATTATGTTTGAAAACAGCTCCATCTACTGTGCAAATATCTGCTGTAAGAAGCCCAGTGACACACCATAAGCAGAATTTCAGAAGTTTTTATTTTAAAATGTTTGGCAATAATTTAGTAATAATTATTGGTGAAATGTAGAAAGTGTTCAATTGTTAAACCCGTGAAGCCAAGATGTGACAAAATTATCAAATAAATGTGTTAATAGACCAACTAGAAATTGTAAATAATAACACACCAGCTATTTCACGGATAAATAATAGAGCCTCTGTCTGTCTGTTCTACATCTAACTCAAAAGCTTTCAGCTAATCTACTTTAAAACACAGTGACTTTAATCCTTGGGAAGTGCACTACTAAGCTGGTGTCATTCTAAGGAGTGACGGATTAATTTTTGTGGCCACACACCTCTGTGGCAATATAAAGATGTCACCAGCTACGATGAGGGTAGTTTATAAATCAACTTTCACTGACTGTGAGATCTAATTTTGCTGTTAAAGACATGCCTATAACAGTTAGACCCACAGTGGTAACACATATTAACATAACAAGCGGTAGACTTACGAAACCAAAGCGGCCAACTGATGTTTAAGTTGTGAAATGTGCATCACGTATGGTTTTTGACAGTTTCATTACTTGTGAATTCATGTGGGGGAAAAAAAAAGTCTACTGCGTCTACTGCAAGTTCTTTGAGCTTGCACTGTGTAAAGTGGCACAAAGAAATCCTGCACAATATTAACCTACTATATAAACATATATCTACTGTCATATTTAGGTGTTCTGTACTCTAATCAGCTGTAATCAACTGGTACTATATATCTATCTATCTATCTATCTATCTATCTATCTATAGCTTAATCTGATTATATGTAATGCTCTCAAAATGATGGATCTGATAATACACCACTAACCATCTGTGATTGCACTGTATGGGACGTTGAGGATGTCTGCGATCTTCTGCTGGACCCTCCTCATCTCTGGCCCTTGCTTGAACTTCTCCACCTCTGTCACAGCTGATGGGTTGTTATCAACTTCCTCCAAAAACCTGGTGCATTTATCAAAAAACCTCATGAGAGCGTCATTCACCGCGTGATCAAACTCCATATCTGCACAGAGGAAAGCAACAGATTATAATGAGCAACAGGTTATGCATAAAGGGGCCATCATAATAATCATGGTCGTACCTTTAATATGCCACAGCTCTGTTAGTCCTGCCTTGAAGGACAGTGTGCTGTTGACACACCTGTGCTTTGAGCTGGTTATGAATTTGATGAATCCACCTCGAAGCTTCTCCTCTGAAATCAGTGAGGGGAACAGCTTTGACAGCCTGACAGCCAGGTGTTTGTGATCATCCACACCTTTCTGAACGAGTCGTCCGTCCATGTCCTCGGTGTACCACATCCTCCACTGGTTTTGCAGTTCACGCAGCCAGTTCCTGTTGGAAACATTGCTGCCCTGAACCACGTCGTAAAGCTTCTTCATCTTCTTGACGTTTTTTGTGGTCGGGTATCTGGTTCCGTGCCTTATTACGGCTGTCAGATGGATTTGGCGACATTGTGCAGACGGAGGCTGTAAAATTGATCTGTTTACAGCAAGTATGTCCTCTATGAGATACGGGTTCACTTCCTCATACCTTCCTTTCGTGCTGAAATATTTGGCGATTGCTGGGATCTCTGGGTTCTCCTCTGGATTCACGTCGGTACAAAAACAGCTGGAAATACCGGTTATGATGGTAAAATAAAAAACTGCGCTTTTCCTTAAAGCGGTCGTCATGATGGGTTACTTGTGAGGCCGTGCGCAGACCCGAGAATGACGTCGATCATGTGGGACTGTCCAACCAATGCCTTGTAGAGGGAACGATACGAAAATGACAAGCTCTGCTTATTTATTAATATTCATGGTGATCGTATAATTTCTGAAAGTGACTGTCCGTCGGTTTCCAAAAGTTATTTGATACTTTGAGGAATATTTTGTTTTTTTTTAAATTGATTTGATAAAAGTAGCTTACTGTTTCACACTAAAGCTTTTGAAGCATGACTACGAGGCATGACTTTTTGGGGCACATCACCCTGATCTGAAGTGCTAGAGTTTTCTCTTCTTGCCACTTAATTAAATTAAAATGATTAAAATGAAATTTTAAGCTCTTCATTAACTCCTTTATTTAGGAATGTAGCAGGAGCAAATGATTAGAAAATAATGGTAATGTGTTAAAAATCTCTTAACAACATCAATTAAAAGGGTTTTCTATAAACAAAAGACAGTTGTCTGCACACACAAACCCACAGATTTGCATCATTGTATCTTCCCTCAGCGTTAGTGCACTGTAATGGAGATCAGAGATTCAGCTTACTGAAAGTCTACACATGTTTTATTGTTTATTGAATTCTTTATTGAGCTTAGCTGATATTTTGGAGGATTGTTTAGGTGACAGTTCGTGGTTGGTTGGTGTTGATGTGTTTTTCAGAGAAGCCTGTTATTTATTCATAAAAATCACACAATAGCACGTGGATTTTATTTATCAGCTTTTTGCCTCTTTTTCAAAAACTTGATGCCACCTCTAGTCAAATATTTAAGCAGTTTGAATATGATGCAAAACACAGCATGCAAAATAGGTTTGCCGTGAAATCTCACCTTAAACATTTGCATCATTGAAACTGCATGTTGTAACAACAGCTGTTTGTTTAGAGAAGAACAGTAATTATTAGCTTCACCCCTGCAGTGGTACCTTAAGTCATCAGTCACTATTTAAATGACACTCCACACCAGAGCCGCTTATTCCCAGATTGTGTTGTAATTTAAAAAACAAAAACATAAACAAATGACGACAACAACAACAACAAAACAAGCTACTTAAGCTGTTAAGTAAGATTTTGGATTTAAGATAGAAATTTTTTAATGTGCACATCTACCTCTCTGACTTCCCCAAATAGCTCTGTGAGGGTGTGACATTACTTGAAATTAAAGTCATTTGTGTCAGTAGTGAGTGAAATATGTGAATGTTTGTCTTCTTGGCAGTGACACACCCACAGCCTTGCACTTTTTTTAAATGTAATATACACTGCCTGTTGCCAATGGTATCAGCAAAGGCAGATGCTGGAGTAAGCAAACAACGGTTATTAATTATTGTTGGTGTGTGTCACATCATCTGGGAGTTCACAAATCACTGAATCACAGGCTCTAATCACATAAATCAAGCATGGGAAGCAGAACTGAGACATCATTTGCGAAATACTTTCATGTGTGTTGCCAAAATATGTGTGTGTCTGCATGCTAGGTGTGGTGGTGGGGGATGGGGAGAGTGTCTTCTCCCTTGCCAGGGAATAAATAAGCAAATAAATAATAAATACATTTAAAAAAAAAGACATTATCTTCTGCTATTGTTAACCTTTATGCTGGATTTATGACTCCACAGATGCGAACCCCTCTAATGCAAAAATGTCTTATTATTATTTAGTTTTGAATGAATCATATACCATCGGCAATCATGGAATTCAGCTTATAACTACTTAAAGGTTTTTGGGGGTTTTTTCTATAAAAGAAGATTTCTTGAACATTTCGTTAAACAAATTAATAGAAATAAAACAGAGCATATTTGTCCATTTATTTCTTTAATGTCAGAGCTTAAGAAAAGATGGTCATCGCTTCAAGATGGAACACTTAGAAATGAAAGCTTTTTCAGCCAGTTGCGTTTTTACTGTAGGAGCCTATCATTTGTTCCACTGTGGAAAAATGAAATAACAAGACCGCTGTTAATATCTGCCTAAACTTCAGCAGGCTGCTTGAACAGCTGACACTCGGTTTCAAAGTCGCAGCCTTGGAGCAGATCCCTGTAGTGCTCTAAGACATCTCGATAGAGCGGCATGGAAGACCGATTAGTCAAACCGGGGAAAGTTACAGGCTTCTCATTGAGCAGCGGCTGTAGTCTGAGGTCACCTCCCCCGCAGTCAGAGAGCACCAGGACCAAGTTAGCTGCATAGGGCAACATGTGAGTGGTGCGGAATGAGCGATGGGCCTGTGCAGCATAGTTGGTTGATGTCAGCGGTTCGCTGTCCTTGAAGAAGCCCAGAAGGGTAAGCAGAGGAAGAAGGGTGTCTGCATGGCCCACCTGGACTGTCACAGCTTCAGTCACCTGCTGTCCCAACCTGCCGCACAGAGGAGAAAGAAAGTTTAAAATTAGCTACAGTTCCTGCTGTAAATCTGAAGATAAACTGTAAAGAAAACACAAAAGTGGGACTCTGGAGTCCATCCCAATGCCATATAAAATTGTCCTTTGATGAATGGTTTCTAGTTATGTAAACATAATTATTTCATGTATTTCTTTAATCAAGGGCATCAGAAACCTACAGGTTATTAAAAGTTCACCTACTTATTCTGAGTGGCTGTCTTGTCCATTCGGCTAAACACGTCATGAAATAGGATACAGCTTGCCTTGCTGTTAATATCATGACCATAGCCTCTTTTCCAGAATTCCCTTAGGTCACTTGCATACTCAATAACCTGTTAAACCAGATAAATGCTCAAAATTGAAACAAGATGTTCAACTGTTTAAACCACAAAAGATTCTTCTGGCTTCTCTAACAACCTCATAAACATCTGCACTTAATATATCTGATGGCTATCTCCTACCTTTGCATCGTCCTCGTCAAAGAGCTCACACCAGGGGGACTTCACTGACCTAATTGCAAATTCGTAAGCACACAAGTAAAATGCAGCCTCAGCCACATCTGCAAGATAAATGTTAAGTGGTTCAGTAACACAGGCTGTTCAAACATGGATTCTTCTCTTCCAGAGAGGTGGCATCCTCACAAAATGAACTAGGAAGCGTTTAGAGAGCAGCCTTCATCTGACTGCTCAGAATGAAGTTAACACTGAAGCACCTTAGATGTAAGATATATGATATTATAAATAAGGCATTGCTCTGTTAATACAGATAATAAGAGTGCAGATAATACACTCAGTCTGGTTTTGTAGATACAACCGTATGTGATTGTACTGTATGGGACGTTGAGGATGTCTGCGATCTTCTGCTGGACCCTCCTCATCTCTGGCCCTTGCTTGAACTTCTCCACCTCTGTCACAGCTGATGGGTTGTTATCAACTTCCTCCAAAAACCTGGTGCATTTATCAAAAAACCTCATGAGAGCGTCATTCACCGCGTGATCAAACTCCATATCTGCACAGAGGAACGCAACAGATTATAATGGTCAACAGGTTATGCATAAAGGGGCCATCATAATAATCATGGTCGTACCTTTAATATGCCACAGCTCTGTTAGTCCTGCCTTGAAGGACAGTGTGCTGTTGACACACCTGTGCTTTGAGCTGGTTATGAATTTGATGAATCCACCTCGAAGCTTCTCCTCTGAAATCAGTGAGGGGAACAGCTTTGACAGCCTGACAGCCAGGTGCTTCAGCTCATCCACACCTTTCTGGACGAGTCGTCCGTCCATGTCCTCAGTGTACCACATCCTCCACTGGGTCTGCAATTCGTGCAGCCAGCTCTGTTCTCCTGAGGCATTGTGCAGGATGATGTTATAGAGCTGCTGCATCTCCTTAATATTTTTGGTCGTCGGGTATCTTGTGCCATGTCTTATTATGGCTGTCAGATGAATTTGTTGACATTCATCCAGTGGAGGCTGTAAAATTGACCTGTTTACAGCAAGTATGTCCTCTCTGAGATACGGGTTAACCTCCTCGTACCTCCCTTTCGTGTTGAAATATTTGGCGATTGCTGGTATATTAGCCTCATCTTCGAACGTCACGTAATTAGATAAAAACCCAGAGGTGTAAAAAACATAAAACACTATAAATTTCCAAAGAAAAGTCAGCATGATGCACGTTTGAAAAGAGCAAAAAAAATAAAAAATCAATGTGACGCGATCAGAAATAGGACAGAGCAAAGTCCAGTGCAGTTTATTTACCCTGATTTCCTCAGAACACATGTTCCAATTCCAAGGACTTTCCATTCCCCTTTGACTTCCCGAGTCCCTTCCAGTCATTACTGATGCGTCACTGTTTCTTTGTCTTTCATAATTAGAATTCATTAAATACTCCTCCAGTACTTGTCACTAGATATTTTCATTTCAGTTTTGAACAAACAGGAAATGAAAACATATTTAACGTGAAAGGTTGGGCATGTTTGTTGATGTTTTTATGACTTCTTGGTGCCCAGTATGCTTTGCATTATACAAATTAGGGTCAGGTCCTAGGAGATGAATAAAAGACATTCATTAGCTAGAAAGAAAAAGTCACACATTTGTTAATGCAAAGTTCTTTATAAAATTCCTGTTTATGGTCGATCAGGATTTGGATTGATGTCCTGAAGGCTTTGGTATTACTGATACAGTAAGGTCAATTTTAGAAATAATATAATAATATAATTCATAACTTCAGAAATAATCAAAGACTGACATAGAATTGAAAGTAAGCGTGGCTTACTAAGTAGAGTCCAGTCTTCACCAATAGATGGCCTCAGATGAAAATGAGTGGGGTTGGCGTGTTCCTGTACAACATTGCATTTTTCTCTCACTGTAGTTGTCACTGTTGCTGTGTTTAAATGCTCCGACTTAGCTGGTAAATCATAAATTAAACATGTAAACATTCCTATCTTTTGCTAAAAACAAATATGCTGTAGGTTGTCAATTTTGTTGCTTTTTTTATGCTTAATGGGAGTCGTGTGCTGCTGAGTCTCATCGTTGGTCATGTTGCTGTATTGGCATGAAGCGTCATTTTTTAAATTGTGCGATTTCCATTGATGCTTGAAGGCAGCACTCGATGACGTCGTGTGGGGAACTCCCTGCTAACCCGCCTACCCTACTGACCAAAAGATACAGACCACCACATTGCGGTACTGAGCAGTACGAGTCGAGAAGAGGTCCGTAAACATTTCACATTTCAACGGTAAGGCAATTTCAATACAGTTATCTAATGTCGAAAACGAACCTAGCTATCGAAAGATACCTCTCTGTTCCATATTTAGTTGTTAAGTTAACACTTTGGCTTCCGAGTCGTGTGGAGATAGGTTAACCTAAGTTAATGTGTTAACTACAAACTGAAAGATAAACCGCTGTATTGCAACAGCTGCTCTTTTGTGCGACCACTTCTTATCTTTTCCATGTATTTCCAAACGTTGCGTTAGCCCACTAAGGGCTCCCTGGCCTTGTGTTGAAACATTTTTATCGACTCTTCTCGACTAAACATGTCCCGTTATCGTTTATCGGGATTCGGCTACACTCCTCTGTGTGGTAATTTTAACCCGTGCTGGTTATTAATGTGCAGTTTTTATTCCTACACACACACACACACACACACACACACACACACACACACACACACACACACACACGCTTACTGTCCTCCCAGACCCTCGCTTTCAATACAAGAGCCCAAGCTAGCAGGCTAGCTAGCTAAATACTGAAGACGCCAGCTTGTCTATCTATTTTTAGGTGGTCAGACTATAAGCTTTTAAGCCACACTATACAGAGCGGCTGCTAAGGCCTTGGTGTGAATGAAAGCGGTGTTTTTAGCACGCTAAGTCACTTGAGTCAACCATTATTTGGATGCAAAGCAAATCTCAGGTGTGCCCGTTACAGAGACGGCGGATCAGTGGGTGTATTTTCCACCAATGTCGCTGTACTACTCTTACTCTTTCTGTGTAAATATTAACCGAGAGAAAAAGATGGTCAAACATTTGTTTTAGCCCTGTGCTTCTTGGCTGAATAACAGCCGCATCTGTTTTGCTTCTCTTAAGAAGAAGAAGAAGAGGTGGGACCTGACATAGCACTGTTTTCCACACACTGCAACAGAGAAGCCCACTTCGCTTTAAGGAAACAGAAGTGTAGCATTAAATAATTGTAGCTTCTTTGAAGAAACAAAACCGAAATCTGTTTCATTTGCTGTGTATGACCACCGATATCTACACAGGGCACAAGGAAATGCCCTGAAGACTTTCACCAGTCAAAAGAGACAGTGAACGAAGTGAACAGGGAGATGTCTGTGCCAAGAAACTGTTGAGAAAGCAGCTCTTCACTGCGATAAACAGTGTGACTGCAGCCAGTGTCAAGAAGGCAAAATGTTAAATGGGGTTTATTGTTGTCACTGTACTCAGAGCTTTTGCAGAGAACGCCTCATTGCACAAGGGACGCATGCCACACATTGAACAAGCATTTGACAAGCAAGAAAACAGATTTTTTTTCGTTTAGTAAGGGGTAAAAAATGTGATTCCTCTAGGCACAGCCATGAAAAACAGATTGGACAACAATACCACCATGAATTTCCTTTTTCCTCGAGAACTGGGAAGGAAATGGGGTTTCCATGCTGTCATTGACTATTGTGT